AGACGGGGATACACATACCTCCAACTCCTGGGTTCTGGCAATGGGGCAATAGACCATGGTTTGCTGCAGGGCACGTGCTGCAGCTCGAGCCCAGCCACGTGAGGAGAAGAGGGCCGGCCGGACAACAGTGGGAGAGGCGCGTGCCATGCGACCCCTCTCAACAGCCGCCTGCTGAGGGCTCAAGTGGTGCTAGTTCCTCCCCTCCCCTGACCTAGCCAGTGGGAGCTGCACCTGAGGGTGGGGGGTGGGGCAGCACGCAGACCGCTCCCCTGGCAGCCCTAAGGCTAGGAGCTGGACCCACCGGCTGCTTCGTGACCCGGGAGCCACGTGGCTTGCGGTGCGGTGGCTAGCAGGGAGCCTGTCAGCCCCGCGCGAACCGGACATTTAACAGTCCAGTCAGTGGTGCTGACCGGACCTGCCAGGATCCCTTTTGGACCAAAACCGGACACCTGATCACCCTATTCCAAGATGGCTGCTCCAGCGAGGCCTCTCTAGGCAGGCCTGCAGGGCACAGTTTTGCTGCTTTTCTCCCACTTTACTACAACCAGCCTCAGGAAGCAGCAGAGCAACAGGGCCTCCAGCAGGGGCCATGAAGGCCTGGTACACTCTGCCATACCCACGGTATCAATTCCCTGCTGTTGCAAATACCTTGGGCATTTGGTGGCACCGTGGTCTTTCCTGTCATGTGCACATGGTACGCAACAGTTTAGTCCCCAGAGGACTGAAATACTTTAATCTAACTAAAGTCACTGACTTGCATCTGAAGAAGTGAGGTTCTTACCCACGAAAGCTTATGCTCCCAATACTTCTGTTAGTCTCAAAGGTGCCACAGGACCCTCTGTTGCTTTTTACAGATTCAGACTAACACGGCTACCCCTCTGATACTTAAAGTCACTGGGTTCAATATAGGTGAAATTTAATGGCTTTTGATATACAAGAGGATAGACTAAATGAGCTCATGATCCACCTGGCTTTACCCCATGAAATGTATGAAAAAATCTATATTTATTTTATTATTTGCTGATAAAATAGGGTGACAACACATAGATAATTAAAATGGAAAGTTTCTAGAATATGTTGTAATTTGCATCTGTCCAGTTTATCTTCTGAGACTGAATACCTTCTCCCTCCTCCCTGTTAACCACTGTCATGTATATCAAGTTGATTGTTGTTCACGAAATGTGAACCCCACCTTCCTTCAACAAAAATCAGTTTACCTCTAGTATATCTAACTTGCATTTTAGTCTGTGGTTCTGTTTTGAATTAACCAATTTGTCATCTGCTAAAAAAAAAAAAAAGTTGGTTTTAGATTTTAGAATCTGTATGCTTTTATTAGTGATTCTCATGATACAAAATCCAGTTGCTTCTGTAGGGACAAGGAGCACGACTCCCAGGATATAGTTGTTGTGTCCTTCAGGTGGGATTTCAGCCTGCTGTACCTGTTTCCATTGTGGCACTCCCTAGGTGCTCCAAAAGAGAACTAGGTCCACAGGGAATTTGATTCTGATCACTCTGAGCTAGCCAAAATATCCAAGCCTGGTGAATCTGGTTGTGGAACTTCAGTTCTGGCTTCTTGTGACAAAAGATCTCCTGACACAGGTCCCTATCACCTGTGACAATATATCTAATTTCAGGTATAGGGCATGGCTATTTGGAGAGCAAACTTCAGAAATAAAGGCCTTTGCATAAGGTCACTTCAAGGTTGTTCTCTTGGAATCCGTCTACTTTGGTGCAGCATTCAAGGGTTTGGGAAAGTGTCAGTTCTTGGTGTGATGTTCACTCTATAGTTTATACCCTTCCTGATATTCTCGAACTTTTTCGGGGTAGTCTGCCTCATAGGGATGAATGCCAGCTCACTGATTGTCCAATTACCAGTAACTGTGACCTCACAGGCCCACTTAGATAATGTGGCGTTGGGGGCATGTTCTGGTTAAATCTGGGTTCTGTGCGGAATCTGAGGCTGGTTTTCAGTTCACCTGCCCCCCTATGAGAATTGAACTCAGCTCTGAATGCTGTCACCAAATCACCATTCAAGCCATTATGAAGAACTCTCTGGCTTTTATTACTTAAGGTCCTGTTATTACTTGCAGCATGTTCATCTAAGTGAACTGGTAAGTTTAAAGTCATTTTCTTGAAGGGATGGAAGTGATTCATTTGGATGGAAATTAGAATTAAAAATGCACAAAAACATAATTCTAATATTGTTCATTAGTTAAAACTAAAGGTGCTGGATACATAAGAAGAAAGTGTATCAAATGTTTTTTATTTAAAACTCATTTATTAAACAAAGGAAGTATTATCTTAGTGAATTGAACTTATTGTTTCTGGTCATGTCCTTCAAGATTTTACAGCAAGTAGAGCTCTTCCTCTCACACCTAGTGTTTATTCATAGAAAGAGGAAAAGAAGCTCTCCTGATTTTTTGTCTAATTGATTTCTCAACATTGAACTAGTCATTGAATTGAACTAGTTGAATAAACTGAAATGAAGATATCCTCATCTGCAGGTGCAGAGAAGGATACTGCTGTCAAAAGTTGGTTTAGCACTTAAAGTCAGATTCCAGGTGCTTAGCCAGTGACTTGTACCAGTTCAATTTTTTGACTTTTTTAAAAAAGGCTTTAACATTGGTTGTCATAATTTCAAATTTAATTTTAAATTGATTTACTTTTGAAAAGAAAAATATATTTCATTTAAAGTTTAAAAAAATCTTAATTTGATTTTTCTGTAATCAAGTCTGTTTTTATCCATGCTAGTGCTCAAGACATTGCTGTGTTTTTTGTGAAAGGCTTCCTGTTTTGTTCCATTTGAACCAAAATATAATTGTCCTAATCCTAAGGAACAGTAAGGAATGTTTGAATGTGATCAGTCTTAAGAATCATCTCTGTCTCAGAAGCTCAGATGCTTTTCATTCTGCATCAAGGTTCTAAGAAAGGACAAACAGCACCCAAGTCTACCTTGTATAATTGGATAACACATCCTCTCATGGAGGCGTATTTCTGTAAGAAGTGTCAGAAGCATTCAAGTCTGTCTTTATGGAATTATTGGATATCATGGGAAGAGTGCATACGCAGCTCTGCTGGCAATTTGTAAAGCAACCAGTGCAACATGTCACATATTTTTCAAATACTGTATTAGGCCTGGTCCACACTAACCCCCCACTTCGGACTAAGGTACGCAAATTCAGCTACGTTAATAACGTAGCTGAATTCGAAGTACCTTAGTCCGAACTTACCGCGGGTCCAGACGCGGCAGGCAGGCTCCCCCGTCGATGCCGCGTACTCCTCTCGCCGAGCTGGAGTACCGGCGTCGACGGCGAGCACTTCCGGGATCGATCCCAGAAGATAGATTGCCTGCCGCCGAACCAGGAAGTAAGTGTAGACGTACCCTTTGAGTGGATGTATAGCTTCAGTAGATGCAGCATTCAGAGGGAGAATACTGCAGGCTACCGTGGGTTGCTAGTGCTCCGTTAAGGGTCTGGAATATGCTTTGGAAGGTCCCAAGCGTCAGAATTAGCATAGACGAGCAAAAAGAAAATGGGGAATTTTCCTTGTTTGATTACTTTCTTTCTTCAGGACATTCGTGTCAGTTCATACTCCACTCTTTTCAGGCTAACATCACTCCATATAGTTTGTCTAAGATTAAAAAAAAATTTTTTTTTTTTTACTTTAAAAGTTAGCAATTTGTCATAGAACTGTTCATAGAGGTGTTAGCTGAGCTTATTGAGGGATGACCTCACCAAAAAGGTTTTATGTACTGTCTCCATCTGCTGCAAGTATCTGAACTTGGCAGAAGATCTTGAAAGAATATTATTCAGGCAAAGAAAACTTTCCATTAAGATTCTTCTGTTCAGTTTCAGTGTAGTATTCTGACTGAAATTTCTGTGGAACTGTGAAATGAATGGAGCTGGGTAGGACTTTGACTGGAATATTGAAGTTAATAAATATTTAATACAAACACGTGTTCACTTACTTTATTATGCTCCTGCACAAGTTAGTTTGCTGCAGTGCAGTTAGTTCTGTTGTCTGAGGAAGTGGAGAGGGAAAGAAGGGTTTGAAAGTGGGGAGAAGGTGAGAGAGAGCATAAGTCCTTCTGTTACTGGAGGGAAGGTTTGGCAGCCAGAAGGATTTGTTTTTGCTAGACTGGAGTAGGATGGAAGCTGCACAGACCCCACACACCCAAAAGTATTTTCTTATAGCTGGGCAATGTCCTGCAGTTCGTGTGTTTTTTTTACAGTAAGTAGAGGTGGTTCGTAGGTTTCTTAATCCCTCTTTCTTTTGTTTTCACTACTGTGGTGAAATAAGACCTATTTTGATGCAAGGCTAATGGGTCCAAAATTGAGCCTGATCTAAGAGTAGTTTTAAAAAAATGTGTATCAGGTCTTGTGAGAGGTGGGGAAAGTTCCTCAAAATGTAATTTAGCTCCAGTCTTGATTACATAAATATTTTTGCTGGGCAAATTGCCAACATCAAGATTTTGATTGAGTACATGCACATCTCTGCAAATGGCCTTTTTTCTATTTCTGAGATATAGCGGTTGATTAAAATACACAAGTTCTGAATAGACAGAATGGAAAGATGGCAGGACTTGTGAATGTGTTGGCAAACCAAAACAATGCAGGTCAGTCTAGAATTATACAACAACTTTAACAGGGACAGTGTAAGTATTATTGGCCTGTCAAGTGACTTTGAATGGTTTATTTTTAGTACACCAGCTCCCATTACTACATATGAAGTTTAAAAATAAGTCAATCTTTAATCTTTTATGAGAAGAGGGTGTGAGTTCAGAAGTGAAGAGGGAACACCAAACTGCTTTAATAATATTCAGTTTTGAATTTGTTTCCAGAAATATTTAACAAATGACTCCATGTGACTCAGTGCAATAGTGTGTTGGCTAATAAAATTGAAGGTCTAGCCCCAGGTGTATTTCAAAACTTGCTAGTAATTTTCAAGTTAAAATGTTGACTAACCTGCCATCCTAACAATTAATTTTTTTTTTGTTATAGATAACTACTCTTATTAACCATAAGGATAAACCAAAGCGGTCAGACAAGACGCTGCAAGCAATTCAGCGGGTGGGCCAAGCGGTTAATCTAGCAGTTGGAAGATTTGTTACAGTAGGAGAAGCCATAGCCAATGAAAATCGAGAACTGAAAGAGGAAATGAGTATTGCTTGCATTGAGGCAAAGCGAGCAGGTATGTGGTTGTTTAAGAAATCTGCCATTTATGTTGCTATGCTACACCTGACATTGAAAACAAACGGAATCTACTGCTTTCATCTATTGCAGCCATTAAACATGATTTTTGGAGTTGTTAAAGACCTTTTTAGTGATGACCCTTGCCTACATTCAATACCTGATTGGTACCAGTGCTCTCACACTCCACCTGCTGTCCAAACTTCCACCGTTATGTCTAAAGTTGGCAGATGATGGCATTCTTGTGTCATGCTTTATTGTGTGGATCACTTTGCCACAAGAAGTTTCACTTTTCCCTTTTTTAATTAAAAAAACCAACAACCCAGCAATCCCCCCCCCCCCCACAACAAACCCTAAAGTTGTTTTTACAAGTACTTTCAGGATCACCAATGGTGAATCTACGTATTTTCCCATTCCTTGCAGTAATTTTCCCTATTTCAAAATTGGAGCACCTGTATTTGTAGTTTTGATGAGGGAATCTTTAAAATAAGGAAATATAAATCAGTGAATTAAATTACTGTTTATTTTAAAGAAACATAATTGATTTATATCTGGTTGAGTCTTCACAAAACTAACTTGAAAACGTGTGCTATTGCAATTTGTAATACATTTTAATATAAAATCACACTGTAAATACTGTTTTTTAAATTCTTATTTTAAAGGCCCCGTTTGTAGGGTATTTTTATTTTAGTTTTACAAAGCCACTGTAAGCAAAGAACAAAACCACAAGAAAATATTAAACATGTCTTTTTTTATAACTTCTTTCATCCAACCAAAGGAGCAAAATTTGTCACTGTAAATTACTTCAGTGTTAACACTGAAATGTTGTGTAGAGCTTCAAAATCTTAAGAAAATCCAAATATCTGAAAACCATTTAATGCAACATGAAGCATTACTCCAACCAGTGATTTAAAACAAAAAATTGCAGGCAGTTACCACTGATTTGTCGTCATTGACATTCACTTTCAAGACCTTCAGAATTAAAATACTTGAAGGCAAGCTAAACTTGAAAGCACTGTTTATTTCCATTCCATATAGTCTTTGAGTAATTGTCCATATGGATTCCACTCCTTGTGCTCTTGCCCCTGATGTGCACATGATTACTGGCCAAAAGAATCCAGTGTCCATTGGGGCTACGAAGGACAGAGCAGGCCCAGCAGGCCATCAGTTCCTCCATACCACCTGACAGTGAGATGGACCCCTAGCACACTGAGCGTTGTTAATTAGTTTGGTTAATTAGGTTAGTCACCCACTGTTGCAAAAAAAAGTAGCAATTTTTTCTTAGATAAATGTTTAGGATAGAGCACCTATGCTTTGTTACAGGTGGCTAGCATCATGGCACAAGCAAAAACAATAGATTTAAGGCTTGTCTCTCATGGAGAGCTTTGATGCCTGTTAACAACAGGCACTCTGATGTCTGCTCTGCCTTGGAGAAGGACACATTCTGTAGCAATGTTCTATTTGTTGCTCTTTGTCCAAGTTCACTCAGAGCAAGGAAAGCCTGCCTGAAACTATTTCCCAAAAGATTGATGCAAGCTGCCTCAGACTACCGAGAGGAAGGCTATAGCCATGCCTCAGCCATCCAATCATTCCTTCTCTGTTTAATGTCTTTGGGAGGCTGGATTCCACCCCGATATCCCGAGCCATGTTTTATCAAAGGCCCCATTCATCTGCTATTGCATCAGCATTGGTATCTTCAGACAGAAAGGAGCACTTCTCCAGAGATGAGCCAAGGCTTGGGTCATCCGTGCCCAGCAAGTTGAGACACCAAATCGTCAGACTCATGATTTGTCTTGAGAGCATTCTTCTGAGGGCCTGAAGCCTCAGAAGGCTCCTTCCAGTTACCCAGTACCAACCTCAAAGACCGCATATGTGGTACTTGCTAAATCTGTGGACCGTGCTGCCCTTGGTTCCAACTCCTCAGCATTGACCTTGTAAAAGAGTGCCTTAGTACTTGGTATTCCCAGTATCTTCCGCCTTCATGCAGACAATGTCTGCTATGCCTGTTACCGTGGAACCAACAATCTTGGCACCTAAACTATACGTCATGCCACGTGACTTATCAGTGATCTGAGTACCGGAGTCCTCTCTCTCTCTTTGAGAGATTGAGGGTGGTGATATCCAAACCACCAACTTCAGAGTTACTGGTACATCAGATTAAGGAGGTATCCTTGGCACCCACCTCCCCCATACTGAGACAGACCCCTTTGGGGGAAGTATACCCTTTTGTTGGGCATAGCATGGACTCATCTCCAACCTGTCCATTTTCCCTTTCCTGGGTAGCACATTGAAAGTCAAGTAGGGATTCTAAAGAGGAGTCCGTCAAAGGTAGAAGAAAGAGACCTCGGGCACATAGGAATCCTCCTCCTTGGGTGCCCCCATGTGTCTCTCACGTCAATATCCCTACCCTTACCATCCATGGTCCTATTGAACAACCTGTGGTGTGCAGCCATATTTCAGAAAGCCTGCATCATCCACTTTCTCTAGGGCTAGATCAGCCACTCCAAATAGGCAAATCAGATCATCTCCAACAAGTCTGCCGCGGGTGCATTTCTGATAATGGAGAATCAAGAGGAGGATAGTGAAGGAAGAGCATCAGCTGCAAAGTGAAGAACTGCTGCTTTCTCCTCATCTTCCCCAGATGAGGACATGAAACCACCTTTGCCTGCCTCATTAGTTGAATTCAAGGTATTCCAGGACTTCATGAAGCACATGGCAGAGACCTTGGATGTACCCCTGGAGGTAATTCAAGAGAAATGGGACAAACTCTAGGACATCCTACATGCCGGGGCTAATGGAACTTGCAAAAAAAAAAAATGCAATTAACTGACAGGTGGTACCAGGTATCTGAAAGGGGTCTAAATATTTTTGGTTACATATACCACCAGGGTCAGGAGAAGCCAAAACAGGGACCTCCTAATTCTACACCAGGAGAGAAGGACCTAAAGAAATTGGACACCTTCAGTCACAAGTTATGCACATCAGTTGGCCACCCTCATCTGGAGCTAACTATCAGGCTCTCCTCTCCAAATATGGCTATTTAACATAGGACCAGTTGTCTCAGTTTATAGACAAACTCCCTGTAGGCTAATTCCCTAAGGAACACCAAGAAGAGATGAAGTCTGTCACGGATGAGGGCTGACTGCCTTCCTGCAATTGACAGCAGGATGGAATGACCTGTGATACAATGACACGTACTATGGCCTCAGCAATAGTTATCATGGCTGCTGTCCTTGGTAACCCAGTGAGGTCTAGGGAACAATCGAGGACCTGCCGTTCGAAGGCAACAAACTTTTAAATTTAGTCCTGGATGAAGCCGTCACTCCTTGAAAGACTCCAGAGTGACTGTGTGCTTTTTGGGGCCTTCTTGTCTCTCTCATATTGCTGCAGAGTGGCTATTTGACAGATGCCTTTCTTATCCCCTGGACACTGGGACTAACATATGCTTTCCCACCAAGCCCCATGAGGAAACTAAGCAAGATGCAGGGTGGATGATTGATAGCCCCTAGCTGAGACAGGCAGTTCTGATATTAAGTTCTGGTGAACCTTTCAACGCAGTATTCTGCCAGTCCTGACTGACAGTCTTGCAGAACAGCAGTCAGATCCTACACCTAGATACAGCTTTGTTGCATCTGACAGACTGGATGCTGGCTGGATGTCATCCACCAAAAGAAGCTGTTCAGCTGAGTTTCCAGAATATTCTGCTCTCCAAAGCAGGACATCTTCAACGAGACTGACTTACTAAGCTTTATGGAAATGATTTTCTATTGGCGCATCTGAGCACAAAGAATCCGAACTCATGCCCATGGGGTACATGCACACCAAGAATGGAATCTGTGTGGACAACACATCTCAAAGAACCACAGTTACTGTGAGGTAAGTAACCATTCTTTCACCGGGCCAAATGATGAAAATAGTCATTAAACACAGTAGAAGAAGCCATTGCAGTTTACAGTTGACATACTGCTTTCATGGTTGCATCTGGTTTCTCTTGGGATATTTACTTGAGACGTTAACTAATGAACAGTTATCGTGTTTTTCAGTATTTTAATTAGAGAGCATAACTTTCTGGAATGGAGAAATATTGTTGGCAGAAACACACTTCCAGCAGAAACTTGTATAATGCTTTCTCTGTGTGGATGCTGGTGATTGTGGAGATTAATCATCTGTTAGAAAATTACATGGTGTTGCAACCTGATCACACTGTTTTATGAACTCATATTTTTACATAACATAATTGCAATTCAGTAAAAAGATTTTTCAGGCTTCTTCCAGTCTTCAGTGGCTTTAGCGATTGAACATGAATTCTTCTGTACAAAATCAAGTACCACTGCAACTGGCATTAATATTCAGAGCAATTCCCTAGCACAACTTGTCACATTAATATTTGTTACTTTCTGGCTAAGTCAGTATTCTGCTGCACTCCTCACAGACTTTGTGAACTCAGATGTTTATGTTTCAGTCTACTTGAGGCATGACAAATATACAGACATTTTCCTGTTAATATTTGGCAAACTACAAAGTAGTTGATGCAAAATAATTTAATTGGAAGTAGGATCTTTGATATTCTTTCCTTTCAAGCCTTTTGACAGTAAATTTAGAATGTGTATAGAACTGTATGTAGCTATTAGCGGCACTACCTTTTGCAAAGATGGCACCTATATTCCTTGCCACTTTTGACAGTATCCTGAGTGATTGTAATCAAATAGACATGTAAATTGCTCCTCCTATAGCAGTTACTGTATCATACACAATAGTTTGAGTGTTACTCCATATATCTATACTCGTATATATGCAGTAACTCGATAGCTTGTGAAAATGCTTCTGTCCAGATCCTTCAAAAAGACTTCAGCACCTAAATAGTTCTGAGTTCAATGGGACTACTCACATTCTTAAAGTTAATTGGGTAAATTTCTGCAGGATCGGGCTGAAGTCTTCTTGGCTTGGAACACTTCATCCATAAAGTACCCAGCCACTGTAAAACCGTATAGTGAAGTATAG